TTTTTATATTGTGTTGTCCTCTATAGTTAAAATCTTTTTGATTTAATTACTAGTTTTACATTATATCTGTGATATTCTAGTTGCTTTACTGTCCTTCGTTGACAGGATTTTATACTCTATCTTTAAATATTGTTAATATATGTGTTGTTTTAGTCACGATATGGCTGATATATTGCCAAAGTAACTTTAAATTTTAACTCACTCACTCTCAAATGTGTTTGCTTGTTTGTTTGATGTTTAACGTCGGACTCGTCAATATCAGCAGTCTGTAAATAACATAGTCTGGACCAGACTAGCCAGTGAGCATGAGCATTGATCTACACAGTCTTAGCTAAGATTTTGCTGAGAGAGTTTCATGATCCAGTCTTAACTAACATCTTAGCTAAGCAAATTGTTTTAGACTTAAGATGTTTTTGTGCTAAACAAATTTTAGACTTAAGATTTTTTCATGATCCCGGGGCCTTGGGTACAATGACGTACGTGTCATCTAAATCAGCGAGTCTGACCATCCGATCCCGTTATTCGCCCCTTACGACAAGAATGGGTAGCTGGATTATTTTCGATGTCATTTGAATATAATAGCAGATGTCAAAATGGAGTGAGTGTTCTTTAATGAATACCTCAACAGCCGAAGCCACACTGTCTCTAGATTACGTGGAATATTTGCCAGGGTTTGAAAGCTCTCGTGACAGACAATGGAACAAATTTTATGTCTGAACAGTTTCACGATTTCATGCATCAAAATGTCTCGACACAGCGGATGCAGACATTGACGTCATTACATCTCTCAGAACTGAATCCTCCCAGAATTCGGAGCCCGGCTTTGGCTTATTGTGGTATAAATCGTGGAGCAGTAACACTTGATAGTGCGAGCTTTAAGGTGCAGATTCACCTGTAGGTGATTTAGGACCTCGGCTAAGTCTTTAAACCATTGGGCGTAAGGTATCCACCTGTTGTGACTTCGTCCAATCCACCCAGCACTGCCAGTGTGACTAATATTGTCTCTTAGTTGGATTTAGCAACGCGTTCCACAACTGCTTGACAGTTTCCATGCTCGTAGGTCTAACACTGCCGGGTTCTCGTGGCATATCCTCGACTGAGGCTGCACTTACAATGTGAGGAGACCCGGACCGAAGAGTTGGGGGCACACCTAAACTGTGCTCTTGTCTGCTCCTCGTAGGAACATCAGCCAAGGACGAGTCCCACCTAGTTAGCGGGACACCTATCATGAGCGTGACAGATAAGACAACGAGGTCAGCCGATGTCGTCCACGCTTGCAAAGGAGGTGAGCCCGCCCCCGAGTCCTTAGGTAGTGCCAGAAAGGTCCCGCCGAGGAGCCAGAAGAGATGAGAGATCACCCCAAAGGAGTGACAGCACATCTTCTCCGAGCTCCTCATGTTTTCTGAAGCTATCAGCAATTAAGCTGGGTTAGCCGCAGGGGGCACGGGGGGAGCTGCCATGGAGAACGACTCCAACCCCTCCGGAGCGAAGGAAGAATAGGTGCGTGGCCCGTAAATCCCCTCGGATTTGGGCACTTTACCCATATTATAGACCTACCGTCCCCCGGCAGGTCTGAATTTCCCGATCCTCGGATCTGGTCGTTCAGTTCCGTCTTCACCTCATCCAGGTCCCTAGAGAAGGGTAGGGAGAGGGAGGGCGTAGGCGCACGCATTTCCCGACTCGCCTGAGATAAGATGGTGGACACCACCGAGTCAGGAATGGCAGATGGGTAACTAAATGAGCGACGATGCACTCGTCTGGAGAAGAGTTCTGGCACAATTGCTGTCACATAAAAACGTTTTTGCTTTTGAAACATTTCCTCCCATTCCAATTTATCAAACGCAGTTCTCTGAATTGAAATACCCTTCAGTGTCTAAACTACAAAGTCACACCATTCTCTATGCAAGTCATTTGACCTTGAACTTGAAAGTAATTGGGGTGATATTATCTAAGTTTCAAGTTCATATTTTCATCCAATTTGCAAAAGAAATCCGTATGTGAAGCAGCCTCTGGTGGTGTAAGATCCTCGAGTGCAGAGGAACATTTGATCTCGAGTAGTCCATGTTATGAACAGAATTCTCACAGTCAACACAAGACACCAGGCCATCAGGACTAGCATCCAAACAGGGATACTGTGGATTTACAATGAGTCCACACTGTGTTACCCTGACATTAGGATGGTCTTTAGTCATCCTGAGAACACATAGTTGTCGAGCAGCAGGCTCATGGGAAGTGCCCCATCTCGTGTGAACTGTTGAAAAATCTTTACCGTAACCCAGAACATTTTTAGCAGGTCTCAGTTCTCAGTTATTTTCAGACATTTTTCGGTTGTCATTTTTAGCAATATTACAGCAATATCAAGGCGGGGGACACCAGAAATGGGCTTCACGCGTTGTACCCATGTGAGGACTCGAACCCTGGTCTTCCGCGTGACGAGCAAACGCTTTGACAACACACACACACGTCCTAAGAAAAGCAAGTATTTAGTCATTTCTTGGGTCGATCAAAAAGTACGTAGCCTAACTATATTCTCGATGCCCAATGTTTGAAAAGCTTCCATTTTGTTTTGAAGGAATCGTTTCACATGTGCGGGAAATGTGGTTAACCAGATATTTGTCATCACAACACATTGGGGTATAATATTTCTAACAAACTTGCAGAAAATGAAAAACGATTTGTCTTTTGGTACCTCTTGGATAATGGTATGCCCTCAGATAATGTCATATAAAATATGTTCAGTATAGTATTGGATGACTTCCCGTCATGATCAACAGTCAAAGATTTGGATTGCCTGATTTATGTTTAGTTGGGGGCTATTTTTTTAATGACACCCCCAACAAAACATTGTGTCAAAAACATTGTGTCCAGATATTCAAGCTGGCACTGTTTACAATATATTTGGCCTGACACTTGTGTGACCATTCAGTATTTAATTTGAAGCCTTGGCATCATGTATGCATAAGTGAAAACATTAGAATAAGCTATGCCCTTATGATTACGTCATCTGAAAGGGGGGTGGGTAGTGTCTCCAAAACAAGCTCTTTCAGACAACATGAAGTGGGAGGGGGTCATTTTAACAAGCGATTGTAATTTCAAATTGCCTTTTTATGAACTTTAATATCTAAGTGTGATTCTAGGGGACTTCTATCAATCTCAAACACACACAATAATTCTTGCATATTTTGTTTCCTGAAGTTCTTTATGCATTTATTGTAGATTTTGCGTTATTTTAGGGTACCAAGAGAAAAGGTCAAACAAAATTGGGATCGTGAGACTGGAACATAGCAAAATCAAATTGCTTGAGCTTGGCAGATAATATGTAGAAAATAAACCCATAAAAATAACTGCATTTGTGTCGTTTTCTTGGTGAGTCTACATAGTTTTTGATCGGCCCTCGTAACATCTCAAACTGACTTGAAAACCCGAAAACTACTGAAGCTGTCCTGCTATTAACAGAGAATATTTCATCCCCCAAGGCCTATCATCTCTTGCTGAATTATTTTCCTGTAACTTCACTCAGCGACTGTACATTTCATTATCTCTTGTGTCATATCACTTAACTACTGGCTTCCCAACAACTTCCTTATAAATTCCCTATGTAAACAACCTACGTTCATCACTCCCTGCTGGTTTCCAATCAACAGCCTTATCTTGTACATCTTCTAAGCTAACTTCCAATCAACCTACTTAACCCTGTATACCATCTGTGTTATCAATCTCTTCTATTGTATAAACAACTCATTTTCGCCTCATCCCTCATCTATTGTATAAACATCTCATGTATATATATATATCACCCAAATTACCTCTTATGTACCACTTGCTTGACAACGACACTAGGATCTATGTCGAAACGTTGCCTATACAGAAATAAAAAAGTTGTATATTCATAAAACAATTGTCCTCATTCTTCCTCTCCTCAACTTCTAGAATGCCAGTCAAAGACGTATGTGCCGATACAATACATCTCGAAATCCCCGGTACACTTCCCTTGCAACAACTCAAACACAGTCACAAACGTAGGTTGATCGATTCCAATGGCCATCATCACTTCCTTCCTTGTTTGTGGAATGAGATTTTTTAACCTGTTGGTGCATGAACTGATGCAAACACACAGTAAGTGTGGTCCTTAGTATGGTGATCTTCCTTTAGTTGTTGACGACCTGTAGCCTGTTACATGTTGTATTGTCTATAGTTTTAAATTTACATGCTAGTTTTACATCTGTATCTGTGATTTTCTGTTTGTGTTTAATGTAGTTCGTCAACAGGTTTTTATATTGTCGGTTTATGTGTCATGACTGTATAACTTGTTTTGGTCAGTAGATGGCTGAAATACTGCCGATGAAACTAGAAATCTTAATTCACTCTCTCACGTAACTTGAGTCAGTTCATGCTATACGAATCTTGTTTCGTAACCAAGGTCAAGAATAATGGGCTATCACACGTGTTGTTAACACCCACAAACCGCCATTTGGGTGTCGTGAGCCAAACACGCAACGTGTTGATGATGTTGTTGAATCAAGATGGGGTCAAAGCTTGGCCATTCTGACCACCTCATCAGATGCTTTTCGGTTCTCACACTTTAATCAATCATAATTTCGAAAACCATAAACTCAAAATTTGAAGGAACGCGTTAACAAATAACCTTGTCGGAATATGTCGACACGAACCGGTTGTGCTGACGTCATCAAAAATGAACAAAAAAATCCTGTTCTTCACATAACAGGTTTGGTTTGGTTTGGATATTGTTTAACGCCGCACTCAGCAATATTCCAGCTATATCAGATAACAGGACTTAGTGCCTGTATTACATAAGCATCACCCGTGTAGTTGTAACAGTACTTTGTAACATTACCTTGTGCATGTATATTGATGCTGATGCTGCCAATGTTGGCCATTGTTTACCTTCCTGATTGATATAGACGCATCTGATGAAACAACTGGGCGATCCAACTGTACCTCAAAAATGTAAAGATATGCGACAACACAAAAGACAAGACTAAACTAAAAATATTTTATTTTCCTAATTCGAATGCTTACAATTTTCGCAAACGTGTTTGTATTTTACTTCACTGAATTGTTTTGTTGCCTGGCTACACAGGTTTTTGCCTGTTAAACGCCAACATAACCTGGCGGGTAGTTGATGACTATGCCGCTAGGGCAGCTTGGCGTGGGGCAGCACTTGCCGGTGGGAGGGGCCAGCAGCTTACACTGATAATAATATGTAAAATAATGCTATAACTTTAATTAGAATTCATATTTATACGAATACTGCTAAAAGGATATGAACCAGTATGATAATAATAACACTAGCAGAGGCATCAGGAACACGAATTACAACAACAATGATAACAGTAATACGATGGTTATATGACATTTACTTTTAAACATGACTTTTACATAGACACTGACACGTACGCACGGGTATATAGCATATAGAAGTTAAAGTGGTACACAAAATGGCTTTTTGTAACACGTGGTTAGAGAAAGGTGAGACTTACAGGTCTTTACAGATGTACGTGCCCACGGTGGCATCTACGCAGGTACATTGGTAGTCACAGCCGTCGCGCCAAGTCTTGCCTTGCCTTGCCCGTAGCTCTGACCCTTGTACAGACATTCCCCTGGAACTATATGACATTGGTGCTTCATACTAGAACATTATATCTATGGCACAGTTGAACTAATGCTGATACAACCTTACCGCATAGGACCTCAGTCACATTAAACAGGAAGCAGGCAAAATACAATGTAAAACCCCTGAGAATGACGACGCGTACTTGATATTTGTGAAATATCAAGACCAGTCACCATTAGGATCAAAGAACACGAGGCCTCAGTAAGAAAGAAAGAATCTAAATCCGCCCTAGCCGACCACCTTAAAGCTAACCCGAACCACAACATCAGTTGGAATACCACCAAAGTCATCGAAAGCAACTAGCCTGATTTCAAAACCCGAAAACTACTTGAAGCTGTCCACATAAAGAAGATTTGTCCAGTCATCAACAGAGATGAAGGGTATTTCATCCCCATGGCCTAACATCACTTGCTCAATTAATTTCATGTAACCCTACTCAACCATTGTACATTACCCATTGAGTAACACTGCACATTATCCATTGTGTAAACATCACTTCATCACTGGCTTCCTAACAGTCCCTTTATCACTTATGTAAACAACCTATGTATATCATTCCCTACTGGCTGCCCATCAACATCCTTAATCCCTTAAAACTATGTACATGTTCTTTACTGGCTTCACATAAACCTACTCAATCCTGTGTTATCAACTTCTTCTATTGTATAAACAACTTATTTTCGCCTCATCTATTATACAAACATCTCATGTACAGTACAATCAGAAATTATTGAGAGTTAAAGATTGTAATTTTATTCTTTTTTTCACTCATTACTCACGTATTAAATGTGAATATTGACAGAACATAACCCCAGAGTCAAACACAGGTGAACAGTTAGTATTTTGTCAAGTCACCATGAGCAGCAATTCAGGCTTCAATGCGGCGGGGCATACTACTGATCAAAGAAGTTAGAAAGTCGTGGTCCATGCTGTCCCAATATCGGACCACCTCTTCTTTCATTTCAGAAATATGTGTCAGATGTTTCTTATTGACACTTTCCTTCATAAGTCCCCAAACATTTTCTATTAGATTTAGGTCAGGGCTATAGCTTGGCCAATCTAATAATGTCATATTTTGGGTTCGAAACCAGGCCTGTGAATGCTTTGAACGATGTTTTGGGTCGTTGTCCTTCTGGAAAATCCACAAATATCCATACAACACGTGAGCAGATGGAAGTAAATGTCCCTCGAGAATATCTGTGTACCGCTCACTGTTCATATTCCCTTCAAATACACAGAGGGACGTTGCCCCTAACACAGATATGCCACCACACACGTTCAATTTCGGACTTGACTTTGGGCGCTGATACGAAGGTTTTTCAGTTTGTTTGGTCCAGAATTCAGTGTATTAGGAAACAGCCACACAGAACTTTCATCTGAGAAAATCACATTGTCCCAGTTAAAATTTTTATGCTGTAAAGCACCAGTTCAACCTTCGCTCCTTTTGTTCAGGTTTCATGATCGGTGAAGGGATTCTTCGACTTTTCTGCCAACCCATTGCATGCAGCTCAGTTCTAATTGTCTCCTTACAGACAGCCACAGTTCCTCTATCAATCATATCCAGCCTTAAGTTTTCTAAACTCCTTCGTTTGTAGGCACCCGTGAAGGGCCACCTCCTCGTGGTGGGTGCTGGGTCACGCTAAGAGCCCTTCAACCCCCCGTTGTGGACCCGGGGGGCATATTTGGTCCACCAACCTGTTTGCCGTGGGTTGCGCCCCTGTGTCGGTGGAGGACGGGATTCTGGTGGTTGAGGGCACTGGTTCCAGGAACAGTGTTCCTTTGCCCAACACACCACTTCGGCCCTTACTTCACCTAGACGGGTGGTTGAATGGGCCCGGTTCAACCAATCGGCTGGTCACGCCAAGCCCTGAGCACACATTATGTAATGTTGCACAAAATTTTGAATATTGTAACTTCTATTTTTAAGTCTTGGCGAATTTTTAGAGCTTTTGAATTTCAACTACACAATTTCATATGTGTTTTTGCCTAGAGTCGTATGCCCAGAAGGCGGTGGCTCATGGGCCAATCAGGTGGAATATTTACCTTTGTATTATTCTGCTTGCGTATATCGTCCGGGTATCCTTGGTGCTGCAGGCTGGAAGCCCGCCTGTTTTTAGCATTGTCCTTGTGATACTCCGTGGAGGGTGGGGAGCTCGGATGATGAACCATTCAACAATAACTATGGCTTACGAAACCCCCATTACAAAAAGAAACGTCCACTTGACACTGATCCTGATGTTAACGACCAAAGACTGCCCACATCCATTGACTACTGGCCACGTTTCATTGTGATTGAGACCGTTGACAAAACACCTTTAAAGCTGAACCCTTTTGCTGTATCAAAAGGCATACAAGGCATTGCAGGAGATGTTAAAAACATTAAACGTTTGCGGACAGGTGCACTTCTAGTTGAATGCAGTAGAAAACCACAGGCTACCAACCTCCTGTCAACTGACTCATTTGTCGGCATTCCTGTATCAGTCTCTGCCCACCGAACGCTTAACACCAGCAAGGGCATAGTAAGAGACCGGGATAGACTTTTTTACTGACATGCTGGAAATAGATATTGTCTCCGAGATGAAAGAACAAGGTGTTATGTATGTTAAACGCTTCACAACCCGGAAAAATAATGAAACCCATCCAACCAACACGTATCTGTTCTCTTTCTCCACTCCGACTGCTCCAAAGTCAATAAAGGCTGGTTACTGTCACATCAAAGTGGATACATACATACCAAATCCACTGAGATGCTTCAAGTGCCAGAAGTATGGTCATGGCGTCAATACCTGCACATTGTCTGTTGTGTGTGCTCACTGTGGTGAGAAAACACACACAACAGAAGATTGTGACAGTACTTACAAAAAGTGTACCAATTGTTCAGGGGACCATCCCTCTTTCTCTAAAGAGTGTCCGATTTGGAGACATCAGATGGAAATAAACAGAATCAAATTTACTCAGAATATTAGTTTTGCCGAAGCTAAACAACTTGTACAAAGATGCGACCAACAAGAGACATATGCTTCAAAAACCAGAAAACCTGAGGCAACTCCTAAAGTACCTAAATCATCTTCCAGCTGCCAAACAAATTTGACTTGGGTAAAAACCGATTCTCCTCAGATTTTTTCAAGTGCAATATCGACTCAAACAGCGGAGCCACTTTCTGGCATGTCTCAAACTCAATCACAACAAGTTCCTGATCCTAACGCATCCTCTCAGTCAACCACAAAGTCTCAATCGCTATCTAATGTCCATCAAATTGCTAAAGGCATGACTAAACCTAAGCCTGATTATTCAAAAAAACAAAGTGGCAGAGCCCCAAAAGGGTCTGAAAATAAAATCAAACTTTACAACAAATATGGATCACTTGAGGACATGGACGTGTCCGAAAACGTCCAATATAGGGCACACAGCTTGTCGCCCTCCAAAACAGTGCGGGGTAGATCCCCAATAAATCCGCCGAAAAGATGGTTAATTCCAACACCATCGTACAGTGGAATTGAAAAGGACTAAGGCATAATTATAATGAATTACTGTTATTAGTCCAGGATTGTATGCCGTCAGCATTCTGTTTGCAGGAGACTTATTTAAAGCAGACAGATCCTTTTGACCTACGTTATTTCAATGCTTATCATTCTTTCTCACCTCCGGGTGACAGGGCCACTGGAGGTTCTTCAATCCTAGTCAAACAGAATGTTATCCATAGCCCTATTACACTTACTTCTCATCTTCAAGCAGTTGCAGTGCGACTCACTTTACACGTTGCATTCACATTATGTTCTTTGTATATCTCACCATCTTCAGTCATTCAGAAGACTGATCTTCAAAATTTATATGACCAACTCCCCAAAACCGTGTATCATTATGGGAGATTTAAATGGCCACAACCCGCTCTGGGGTGGTACAACAACTAATGCTAAAGGTAAACTCTTAGAAGACTTTTGTTCAGACAATGATTTATGCATATATAATGACGGTTCTAGCACATATTTACATCCTGGCACAGGAACTTATTCAGCTCTTGATTTATCGATTACTACCTCAGACTTATTGAGTGAATTCGAGTGGTCAGTCCACGACGACCTGTGTGGAAGTGACCATTTCCCAACAATTCTCAAACCCGTGAATCCATCTGATGTTCCTCCATCATCAAGATGGAACTTTAAGAAGGCTAACTGGCCTTTATATGAAACTTTCTGTGCTGACATACTCAAACCAGAACTTTTTCATGATCTTCCTGATGCCATCAACTGTTTTTCAGATGAGCTCAGACACATAGCTGAGAAGTGTATCCCCAAATCCTCTGCAGTTCCTCATGTACGTAAACCATGGTTTAACGCTGAATGCAAACAAGCTCGCAAGGCACGAAAGAAAGCTGAACATTATTTCCGTCGCCATCCTATGGTCCACAATTTAAACAAATTTAGAATTTTAAACGCCAAAGCACGGCGTACTTTTAAACAAAATAAACGCCAATCTTGGCGAAACTATGTCTCAAACATCAATTCGCGCACGCCAATATCAAAGGTGTGGAACATGATTCAGAAAATAAAAGGTAAGGGATCTAAATCTAGCATTAAGCATCTAAAAGTGGAGATGAATTATTAACTGATAAATCTGACATAGCAAATAAACTTGGAGAAACTTTGGCCAAACATTCTTCCTCATCTAACTATGTACCTGAATTCCAGAAATATCAAAGACAGCAGGAAAAGAAATCTATTAATTTCAATTCAGACAATGGGGAAGACTACAATGAAACCTTTTCGATACATGAGCTTCATACTGCTCTTGACCAAGCTCACGATACTGCTTCAGGAGCTGATGGTATACATTATCAACTCCTGAAGCACTTGCCTGAATCATGTTTAGAGACGCTCTTATCTATTTTGATGACATTTGGACATCTGGACAATTTCCTTCGTCGTGGCGCGATGCTATAATTGTGCCCATCCCTAAACCTGGACGTGATCATACTGATCCTTCCAATTATAG